ATGTTGATTTTTTTTTTTTATCAAAGAAACAGATTTTTGTTGTGAAGATTCAGCCAGAAGCGTTTCATACCTTTCCCAGCTTTGGAAGTATAGCAATGCCAGTCACCTGCCATCCTCTATTCCTACTGGAACTCCATGGTAGCTGCCTGAAATAACACCTCCTCTTTTGCAACTCTATAATAGAGATAAGGGAGGCAGTACAGGAGAGTTATCAGTTCCAGGACCACTGCAGCATTTCACTACCTCTCCCCCCCCGTGCCCCCCTTGCAGAGTCCCTCCTCATCACCTCTCTTTCCCTCTTCCCACTCCTCTGGCGTTCTCTCATCTCTCCCCCCCCCACCCTCCATGCTGCATCCTCTCTACCTCTACTTCTCCCTCCTCCCCACATGTCTGTCTGTTCGAAAACTGGAGCAACGTCTTAATCGAGGCTCGGAGACGTGACGGGAATTTGTAAGCAACCCCGGCTCTGCAGTACAGACACAAACACACACACACACACACAGAAGCACACACATTCTGCTTGGCAGCCAATTAACAGCCTGCGATCCAGAGCCAAAGGAATAACTGCATGTTGATGAGCTGGCGGCTGTATGTGTGTGTGTGTGTGTGTGTGTGTGTGTGCGTGCATGTGTGTTTGTGATGAGCTGGTGGCCGTCAGAACCACTTACACAGATAGAAGGATATCTCTTTTATGTGTTCAGGGGAAAGAGGGGGATTATGGCGCATTAAAAACCATCTCTGTGAGGGACAAACTAAGACAGGAACAAGGAAGTGCCACTTTTCTCACAAATATTCTCTTATGTGTGTGTGCGTGTGTGTGTGTGTGTGTGTGTGTGTGTGTGTTTGTTTGTGTGTGTCTTGCGAGTGTTTGCGCACGCAGGCGGCATTAAGAGAACAATGCGGGTGATTTACATGGAGCTGAGTCTTGCTTTCTCCTCCCCATCTTCCTCCTCATCCTTCCGCTATTTTCCCTACCTTTCGTTCTCCTCCTCCTCCTCCTCCTCCTCACTTCTATCTTTCCTTCACTTTGGGGAGTTCATCCAAAGGTGAACACCTAACAAAAAAAAAGTATCTCCCCCCTCCTCAAAAAACTCATATATTCTCTTTATGTGTCAAAAATATTGACACCATGCCTTGACACAATATCCCCGAGCAGCAAAGCTCCGTGTTTGCCAGTCCAGGTTTCATCATCCTTCCTTGTTTTTGTTTTTTTGTTGTTGTTTTTTTTTTTTGTCTTAGATAGAATATGTTGAAAAGAAGTCTGTGGGTTTAAATCTTGCCTTCTGTGTTGTTGTTGGTGCCCTACTTCTCTGCACAGTCCTCCATGTCAATCTTTTCTGTTCACTTTATAAATAAATAAAAAAGAAAACTGGCAGAGGAAAGATGTAAACTACTATTAACAAGTGAATTAAATAATATTAAGTTCCATCTCAATCACAGTACATTATTAGTACACAATATTACAAGACCAGACAATAATTTATCTTCTCTACAGTGTATATTTTTTCCCTTTTTTTGCATTGAAATCTGTCTTAAAACATGAAAGTGCTATTCTAGTTCTGTTTAACTTGACATTTTTTTACATTTGTGAATCCAGATTAGATAATGATACTAATCATTTTAGATGTAATCTGCACAGCACACTGTATACAGTGCATTGTCATCACTTTGTGTATAATAGCACCATTATGGTTGTATTATTCTTTTTTGATCAAAACTAAAACCAGTATGTGTCACAAAAATAAAAATAGTAGAATGAAATGTGCAAATTGTGAAGCTCTGTATAATCATATGTGGCAATGTGCAGTGAGGCTTTTTCCTGTGTGTTAGCAATATTTGATTTTGTCTTTTTTAAACTAGGATGACAACTAGTGGTAAAGTGCTGAGATAGCAGGAACGTTGCTGGGGTTTGGGGGATCATTTTGCTGGTGAATATTTGTGGCAGGGAAATGCCGCCATCTAGTGGAAAGATGTGTAAACGACAGGAGAGGATCAAAAGAAAGTTTGAGCAGAACATAAAAAGCTTGCCCAGTCTCATGCTGAGATATATGAGATATTAAGCAAGATGGTGTTTCTTCTGAGAAACTCAAAACTAAACATCCACTGAAGAGGCTGCGTCTCATGGGTTCCTATTTTCCTTCAGAAATAGCTGGTGGTTAGTTGAATGTAGTATTCACCAAATGTCCATTTTAATAGGATCTACGATAAAAAGAACAAAAAGAAATGAAAAAGATTACCCACTTATATATTCCCCTGTTTCCTACATTCTCTGACTTTCCAATTTACTTGTTTCTTCTGGTCAAAAAGAAATACAAGGACTAACCTTTTTTATCCTCCATCTTTGACATTTTAAACCAATTCTGAAAGTGTGTAGTTTTTCTAAATCTCTGGAATGTAACCTTACTGCAAAAGAAAATGCACTGAGAAACACACGCATACACACACTCAAACATAAAAAGACACAGTAGATTAGCAAACGGCATGAAAAGATTGTCTTTAAAAATAAGATAAAGTTCCTGAAGACACATGTGAAAGAAATAGCATAATGCCCTCACCAGGGTATGTTTTAAAAAGTATGTTTTCTTAATTGGTTGATTTGAACCTAACACACACATACCTCTTTGTACTGATGACTATTTGCATAAGATTATTTGAAACAGCAAACTTCCTGATCAAACAGGAATGATCCAGTGACGTCAGCACTCCTGAGTA